TATAATTTTTTATACCTTCATGGTTGACAGGTTCTTTGTCTGGTTTGTACAGCTTTTGAGTTAAAGACCCTTTTATCTGATCTGAGTATAACCATTCCTACTTGCTCTGTAGGTGCCATTTGTGTGGCATGTCTTTTCTAGACTTTGTGGAGTGAGCTCCTTGTTGGCAGGATATCATTGGATCTTGTTTTGTTCCTTTTTGTGTGTGTGTGTGATACTGGGGATTGAAGTCAGGAACCTGCATTTGCCAAGCAAGCGCTTAATTCTACTGAGCTATCTCCCAGGCCCCTTGGATCTTGTTTTCAATCAATTTCTGATTGGAGGATTTAGTTCATTTACATTCAAGGTTATGATGGATAGGTACTTGCTCCTGTCATTTTGTTGTTTTCTGACTGTTAAGTATTTTTTGTTCCTGATACACCTCTCATTATTATTATTTTTACCTCTTATTATTTTATCAATGTGATTTGGTGAGTTTATATGTGTTAACAATTTCTTTTTTTCATTTGTATGGCTGTTTTACCAATAAGTTGAATATTTTTGAATGTTTTCATAGTGATAATTCTTATCCTCTCACTTCAAGATACAGTTCTCCCTTCAAACATTCTTGTAAAACCAGTCTAGTGGTGAATTCTATCAATGTTTTTGCTTACCTGGTACTTTAGTTTGTACTTGGAATATCCCTCATATGCCTGTGTTCACTTAATGGGGTTTTGTAAGTCTTGTAAGTTTTCTTTATTTTCTCCACAGCCCTTCCTGCATCCAACCTTCCTGACTGATTTATCTTGAGAAATCCATCTTCAAGTGCAGAAATTGTTTCTTCTGGTTGGTCAGTTGAAGCCCCCAATTCTGCTTTGGTTGTTTTTAAATTTTATTTTATTGATCAGATTCTTCAGGGCTATGATTTCTGTTTGGGTATTTCTTGTTTTGTTTTGTTTCTGATTTATACCTGCTGAATTTCTCATTCAGATCATGAACTCATTTTCTCAGCTGACTGTCTATGTCTGCCCTCTTGCTTCTCCTTGAGTTTCCTTAGAATCATTTTGAATTCCTCTTGGGGTATTGCGTAGATTTCCTTTATGTTGGAGTATTTCTGGAGAATGATAGTGTCCTTTTCAGGTGCATGGTTCCTTATTTTCTCATACTCAGTGTGTCCCTATGTTGATGTCTGTACATCTGGTTTAATAGTTACCTCTTCTAATTTTATGGAGTAGTTTTCACAGGGAAAGATTTGTTTTGTTTTGTTCAGATGGACATAGATTGTCAGTAAGTCCTTTGGTTTGGGTTCAGGGTTAGCCCAGAAGTATAGCCTCTATGTAATTTCTTTAGCTGTGGAATGACTTTGCAGTGGGCTTAGGTTGCCAGAGTAGGGACCACAGACATGAGTTGTGGTAGTGGTGGTGGCATCTGCAACACTAGGGTGCTGGCTATGGTGGCATTTGTCCTTACTCACTGTTAGTTTCTAGCAGCAGCAGCAGCAGCCACTTTGCTGAGCCCTTTACTAGCTTCTAGAGCAGGATGTACTCCAGCAGTGGCTGCATTCCCAAGAGTGTCCCATGCTGTGGTAAGTGGAGCTTGGAATGGGGTAGGGGTTAGTGACCGGGAGTCATGGAGCAACAAAGGCACATGAACACAAGACAGCTCCTCAGAGCAGGTTCAAAGCCTGTGAAGGCTGAGCTTCCTTCATTGTCAGAACTGCCAGTCTTCAGCCTTCCTGCCTACTTTTTCCCAGTGTGGCCACCCCATTGGGAAGCTGGGGCTCAGTTCCTATGTACTTTGCTCTTCTCTCAGCTGCCATTCTGAGTTTCTGTCAGATTTTTAAAATATTTATTTGTAAAATTCATGACAGCAATTTTGAAGGGCATAATTAAAAACAGTAATATTTTCCAATCACCTTGCACATAGGTGCATCTGTGTATAGTTTGAAAGTCAAAAAGGAGGCCTTGGATGTAGCTCGTGGTAGAGCGCTTGTCTAGCGTGCGGGAAGCTGAGGTTTAATCCCAGCACTGCAAGAAAGAAGCAAAGCCTACCTAAACTGATGTTTTAAAGACCAGTCTTTAAAAATAATAATAATAAAATAAAAATAAAGACCAGTCATGTTCATGTACAGGTACAAATTCTCTATGATGAATGTGATCATTATGTATATCTAAAAGGTAGCAATAATATCTGATTTTTTAAAAAATTCACATTCCACTCCTGTTTTCTTTTTGGGGAAAAGAGGCCTCCAGTGGGATAATTAGGCATCTAATGTATTAGGTATCTGTTGAGTTTCATGGCAAGTGCTGATGCTTTTCCTCCACACTGACTTAACTTCCCTATACTGGAACAATGACATATTTTCATCAACATTTGTTGTTGATATTGTTATAATTATTAATGTAAATAGTCTTTCCAGCTGAGCCATAAAATACATTTATCGCCATTTCATCCACCTGCTGCCATAACCTTTTGCTGCCCCTGATGTTAGTATCTTTCTAAATATTTGCTTAGCTTTCTGTGTCTTTAGTGTTCAATTCCACATTATTTGTTTTTGTTTTTTTGTGAAGGGAGGGTACTGGGGATTGAACTCAGAACTTTGTCCTTGCCGGGCAGGCACTTATGCCATTGAGCTGGCTCTGCGGCCCTGTTTTTTGTTTTTTATTTGACAGTTTCCCACATTATATTTTGTTTTCTGCTCCTGGAAAATCTTAGGAGTTGAGTTAGTTTCTTCTTTTTTTTTTTTTGTACTTTAGGGAAGTGTCTACAGGGTGTTCAGGGTCACACTAGTAGATCGGACTCGTAGTGATCCTTATCTTTACAGCCTCCCACACCCAGTCTAAGCTTGCTTCTTTCTGTATGTATAGTATCAGATATTGGCAGAAGGGTCCCTCTGCCTACATCCCCCACAGTGTGTCTCTCTGCCCGGGACCCTATCCCTTCAGGAGGCCCCTGGGGCTGGGGATCCTAGGCAGGACTTAAGTAGCATGCTGCAACAACAGTTTCACTGGCTACTGCCTTGTTATTCAGAAATAAGAGGATTTGGCTACTTTTTACCACTGCAATACCACTAATCACTTGTAAATATTCATAGTTTTCCAAGAGTCACTTGCTACCATCAGTCACTGAAGCTGAGGTCTGTACTAGTGAGCCATATTGCTGCCTTTAAGCAAGAGCAATCAAATGACAGTGTGTGGGTATGAGTATGGGTGGGTGCTAACAGGGGAGTACTAAGATACAGCCAAAAAAAAGAGATGAGGATAAAATATGATAAATTACTACAGTGGCTCAGAATTGGGAAGAAACCTCACCCTGCAGGCCTGGGAATCGTGGGGCTGCAGTATGTGGGTTCATGCTGATACCCTGGCTTGGTACACTGTGGGCCCATGGGGAAAGGCTGTCTGCCTCTCCATTCCAGTTTTCAAAATCCTGGGCAAGACCATGGAATGGAGTCAGCTTGCAGCAGTCATCTTCTGGGTCAGCTGTTTGTGACGGTAGGCCTTAGCAGTGGCAGCACCACAGGGCCATATTCCTAAGCGGGGCAGCTGCCATCTGTGCATCATAAACTCTTCATACGTTTACCACTGAACCTGGGCTACTAGAGTCGGGTGAGGGCCATGAGAGTCCTCAGTTGATTCCATCTCACCCTGGAAAGAATGGCTGTTAGCAAGAAATCAACTAATAGCAAATGCTAGAGAGAACATGAGGAAAAAGGAACCCTTCTCCGCTGTAGAATGGCACATCTGCTGTGGGAATGTGTGAAGGTTCCTCAAAAAACTAGGATTGGACATCCCATTTGATCCAGCTATTCCCCTGCTGGGTATCTTCCCAGAAGAATTAAAAACTCATACTACAGCGATATGTATGCATCCATGTTTATAGCAACACAATTTGTAATAGTTAGATCTTGGAAACAGCCTAAATCCTCATCAACCAAGTAATGGCTAAGAACGATGTGGTCTTTTTATGCAATAGAGTACTACCGAGCCTTAAAGAAGGATAAATTGGAGACCTATAACCACAGGCGCACATGTGTAAACGTCGTGTTGTCTCCCTAGGGTGAGAAGCTGAAAGAGTAAATAACATCCAGAATGTACAATAGAGATTATAAAATGGAAAGAAACTTTTTTCTTTTTTGCGGAACTGGGGTTTGAACTCAGGCCCTTGCACTTGCCAGAGAAGTGCTTATTCTACTGAGCCATCTCCCCGGCCCCAAAAGGAACTTTTAAGAGGAAAGAAAACTGGGATGGGAGAATGGAGAAAAGGAGGAAAGGAAAGCAAAAAAAGAAAAAAATATATATGTATATAAAAGATAAGATATACTACTAATTTCTCTTAGTTCACTGAAAAGAGGTTTGTGCTAATTTTTTTTGTGCTATTATCTTTTGGATAATTAAATGCATTTATCTTGTGCTTAGTAATTAAAGATAAAAATATGCAATTGTTAACCATTGTTACCCTACTATTGTATTGAAATTTTGTTTTATTTATTTATTTTGTTTTGTTTTATTTTATTTAATTAATTAATTTATTTATTTATTGCGGAACCGGGGATTGAACTCAGGCCCTGGCACTTGCCAGGGAAGTGCTTACTCCACTGAGCCATCTCCCCGGCCCTTTTTTTATTTTTTTATCTCTTTAAATTAAAGAAGTCCTCAGGTGACAGAGCAGCGGGCAGGCACATGGTGTGGCTGGGTCAGTCTGGCCTTCCTGTCAGTCTGCACCTTCCTTTTCTGTTTAAGTCCTGGGTGCCCACTGTAATGCTTCAGGTGTAGCCTGCTTTGAGTACCCCCTGCACCCTTAGAGCTGCTGGCACTGCCACCAGACGTCAGATTTCTACAGACCCCTGCTGGTGTCCTGCCTTTGTCTAGGACACACCTATTGTTACAGTTCTCACACCATAGGATGACGTCACCTCCTCTTCCTCTGTGGGCTCTGTGTGTAGTGTGCAGCATGGCAGAGTAGGCACAGGTGACTGTGCTGTTGAGTGCATGAAAATAACACATGCTTGTTTTTGCCAGGGCACAGAGATCTGGTCAAGTCCTCGGCAGCCTGTTCCTTTGAAAAATTTGGTGACTTATCCTCAGCTGAAACTGGTTGTCACCATAGATACCAAAGGACTGATCAAAATGTGGAAAGCAGAGACTGGATGGGAATTGGCCTCCTTCTGCTTACCAACCTCCTCTTCTGCAATGGAGCCCTGTGATCATCCAGAGGGCCTCTTCCTGCTGGTGAGTGAGCTGACTCTCAGAACTCCGTAGGGACCAGCCTCCTCCCAGGGCCTGAGCACTAACACCATGACCACCTTGCTGGCTGGAGCCTGGAGCTGGGCCCCTCCATGGCGTGCAGACTCCCTATCGTGTCCTTCAGCGCTGCACATGGCAGCAGCCTGTCTCTCTGTAGCTTCTCCAGTGAGGCCCAGCTGAATGGCTCACTTAGAGTTCTATAGTCATGTACCCTCACTTTGTTTTTTCCCAGGTTTTCTTCCTACTTCTTTTTTTTTTTTTTTTTTTTTTTTCTTGCCTGCGGTTTCTCTTCTTTCCTGCATTCTTG